GGGTCTGGGCTGCTGGGATCGTCAGCTGGGGGGTTGACTGTGGACAGCAGGGAACATACGGAGTCTATACCAGGGTCGCTAACTACATGGACTGGATCAACAAGACTATGCAAGAGAACTGAGATTTTTAGCATGATGTGAAGATTTGGATGAAACAAAAGTAAAATCAAAAACAGTGAAAACATCTACAATAAAATAAGATAAAAACAAACAAACAGACATTTTTTGTACATGTATCTCATATCTCTGGTAAAGACAATAATCATATTAATGTCTACTTCAACTGCCTCTTACCAACTTAGGTTTTTTCCTGCTTATGGTCATCTCGCAGGACATTATCCCATCTATGCCATGGTCACTTGCCAAAGAAAAAAATTATATTTTCATACATTTTGCAATCCAAACTTTTCACAAGCTGTAACTCTGTTTCCCTGGTAACACCTTAGGGTTTGACTAATATCTGGAAAAATCATTACCATCGCATATGGTTCTCAATCGCAATGGAAATGTTGCCCACTACTCCAGTAAACAGGATGAACCTTAGATACGAGTTTGCAGCGGGAGATGTTTCTAGTGTTCTTCGCTATAGAACCCACTGGCTTAGCTACGACCTAGAAAGCTAGCATTAGCAAGATTCAAGGTTAATAACACTGCGTACAGTTTACTCCAGTAAACAGAAGTTGACAGGCAATTTTTAAGAGATTAGTGGACACCCTGCACCCAATCAGGATCAAGTGTTCACCCAGACTATGGTATACATTGTTAATTATATGTTTACTACGTACTCTGAGAACTAGCTACTTCATGTCTCTTCAGGAACTAAAGACAGTAGCCTCTCATTTTATTTACTATTTTGGGTCTTCACAGGACTCTGCACTGTGCTCATACTCACACTTTTACTCCTCATTCTTCCATTTCGGTTAGTCTAACTTACTGAACCATTACTGACCCTGTTTTTCTACAATTCATACTTGTATTTAATTCTGCCAAGACAAACAAACCCTGAAGGTTAAATTCCACTGCAAAATGCTACAAACCACAGCCTGTGTGACATTAGTAGTCCAATGGACATGAGACATTTCACCTAAAACTGCAGTCACACAAATATTGCAGACATGGAATGGACCTACTGTGTTATATGGTAAGCTTTGCGATAAATGTTCACCTTTGTTGTATGTTTTAGTAAAGTGTCATTTTTAATGAATTTATATCTTTCTATCTTGCATTATATACATACTATAAGTGTGCAAACTACACTACAACAGTATCATATAGAAAACTAAAGCCATATTATATGGTTACAGATGTTACATTTATTGTGTCACTGTATTTGTTCTCTTTCTGTTTGCATCAACTTTGGACTACCACCTTAGTTCTAACTCTGTGTTTATGTACAATAATTACAGGTTACTGTGTTTGTCAGCACGTAAGTGCTGGCAACTGTCCGACTCGCAACCTGTAATGCATGGGAAGGTCCATTCCCCTCAGTATCCCCGGCCTTACCTTCCCAACCTGCAAAAGGAATGGGACCTCTCGGTTCCTGAGGGTTACCAGATCCAGCTGTCCCTAACACATCTGGATATTAAAGCTTCTGTGGGCTGCTATCAAGACTCACTGACGGTCAGAGCCATATTGAAGCCTATCATTATACAATATTAGACAATAGATCAGTGTTGTTTTTCTCTAAAACACAAATTTGAATCTAAAACTTATGACATAACGTTGACTTAAATATTATAAATATTAACTGGGTTCTTAAAATGGAACCAAGGGCAAAAATTCACAACAACAGTGAACAGTAACAGTGAAACATGGCCTTAGACTTGCAACAACTGACTCTCATCACGACCACTTCACACTAAAACTGCAAACTACCCCAGACTGATCGGTCTGATAAAGCCAACTGAATTACATTTTCTGCAAAGAGCAGAGAATCAATTCTGAGATCCAAATCAAACATTTACCAACCCACAAAGTCCTGTAACACCCAGGATTTTATTTCAGTGACTACCAAAGCCACAGCCCTTCTGGCTTCCTATTCTGCTGCTTCAGCTGACCCCTGGGCAAACCAAGCCCAAAAGACCTCCTTCTTCAGGTTATAGGCCTCCATCACTGCTGGTATCCATCAGTTCAGTTGCTGCCATGACAGGCACCAACCACCTTCTGATTACAATTCCTAATAGCCACCTCAATACAGGTTGTAAACATGACCCACTTGGATTTCACATCCCCAACCTCCCCCGGCATGCAGTCCGAGTTCCAGTTCCTCCTCACTACACATTTGGGTTTACCAGTCTGTCTGGCAGCTTCTCCCACCATCTGATCCAACTCACTAGATGGTGATCAATTGACACTGAGTGTCGAACATAGTGTTTGATATTACCAATCTATGACTAGCACAGAAGTCTTGATTTGTATTTTGGCGCCCCTGTTAACCGATTAGAGCAGTATCTCAGGCTGCTGCAGCGCATCACTTGTAGTCACTATGATCATCAGAGGGAGTGCCCCTTCATGATCAATGGTCTTACAATGTCTTTTTTTGCTCTTTACACATTTCAGGTTCTCTATGATCAAAAGGTCTTGGGGAAGCTTTGTGGTCAGGAAAACTCAACTGATTACTCTGGCATAGAACCAATCTTTTCTCAAGGCAACAGACTGACTCTCATATTCCAAACAAGTGATTCGACTGCGGAGCACATTGGTTTCTCTGCTATCTACAAGGCAATAGGTAGAGCTTTTCTGGTCACTTCCCTATAACTGTTTATTTCCCCCAAACTTCAAGAGAAATTCCACTGTAAAAAACACATTTAACATGGTGCTTTGTAGGGCTGCATGATATGGTAAAAAAAAAAATCATATTGTGATTATTCTGACAGGTATTACAGTTGTGATATGATTCACTTCACCTGTCAGTGGTCATAATGTTATGGCTGATCAGTGTATTATCTCCTTGAGCTGTAACAATATAAATATACATTAAAAAAATACATTTTACTTAATGTTAAGGTTTCCTTTAATGACCTTCTCATTGTCAGATGTGGATGAGTGTTCAAAACCAGACCCTGGAGATGGCTCAGGTCCACTCTGCTCTCAGATCTGCATCAACACCCCTGGTTCTTACCACTGCTCCTGCCGCTATGGTTACAAACTCCATTTAGACCAGTACACATGTTTGTGTGAGTACTGTATAAAGTTAATGCATGCTTGTTTGTATGTACCTTAATGTGTCATCCTATGAAGCTCAATAGTAACAATGTAGTATTAATGCTGCTGAGTACAATATTGAATATTGAATCTCTTGTTCTTGCAACCATAATACTTGTTTTTGCCCAAATGTCTAGTATCCTGTGGTGGTTGTATATTTGACAAGGATGAGGGACATCTGTCCAGTCCAGGATACCCTGGCCCCTCACCTCCTTTTCTGTCCTGCAAGTACATCATCTCTGTGGAGCCCACATTCATTATCACACTAAACTTCACTGACAACTTCCACATTGACAGCGTGGACACTCAGCAAGGTCCCAGCTGTCAACATCACTGGCTGCAGGTATTGGCAAAGGGCTTCCTTACAACAAATGACCCTCTGACATGCCTTAGTATAAAAAAAACTTTCCACCACTCCCCTTATAGGTGACCATTCCAGGCAGAGAGCCCATGAAGCTGTGTGGTGAAAAGAGTCCAGGTCTGATAGCTACAAAATCCAGTACTGTCAGACTGGACTACCATACGGATGATAAAGGCCTGAGTCACGGCTGGAGCCTGGACTACAGCACATATGGTGAGTGATGAAGGGAGAGAGACAAGGTGTTTTTTTGCCAAGGGTAGTGGTTGTACAACTGTAGGTATGTGATTAATATTTGGGTATCATGTCCTTTCCAGAGGTCAAATGTCCATTTCCGGGTCATGTCACTAAAGGCAGAGTGACTCCTGTCTTAACTGAATATTTCTTCAGAGATTATATCTATGTGACCTGTAAGCAAGGATACAGGCTGATGATGGTTTGATGTTTTCTTTCTTTCACTCTCCATTTGTTAAAGGACCAGTGTGTAGGATTTAGTGACATGTAGCAGTGAAGTTGTAGATTGCAACCAAATGAAAACCACTCCCTTTCTAAGCATGTAGGAGAAACTACTGTAGTTGCAAAACTTGAAAGGCCCTATTAAGAGCCAGTATTTGGTGTGTTTGTTCTGGGCTGCTGTAGAAACAAGGTTGAACATGGCGGTCTCTATGATAAATTTAAGTGGCTCATTCTATGGTACCAAAAACACTACAATTTAATATTTACTGGTGATAAAAACACTAAATAAAACATAGTCCAGTGTGTATGTTTTCGTTAGTGTGTAATCAGAATATGGTTTTGATTGTGTTTTCATTACCTTAGAATGAGCCATTTTTATCTACTGATGCAGCAGGTTGCCTTCCAAGGTGAACCAGCATGTTTAGTTTTTCCCGCACATTTCACAGCCTGTTCTTATTTTCAGGGAGTCTAATACAGACTCCAGTGGTGTTCAATTAGTTACAATATACAACTTCACCACTACAGGCCACTCAATCCTACACACTGGTCCTTTAAGACCAAAAAAAGAGTTAAATACAAAAAGTTAGTTAAAGTTTGTTAGTTTTCTTATCTATTTATTTGTTTTATTGTGTGAATTAGACCAACATTCATCAAATGTATTTAATTCACTTTCTTTTCTAGAATGGTCAAGAGATCAGGAAGTTCTCAGCTATGTGTCAAAGCAACCGACAGTGGCACCTTCCTCTGCCAGAGTGCCAGAGTATGTCTGTTTTGAGCCCAAAATATTTTGAATAAACTTATTATAATCCAATGTCTTTCTTGACTCACTAGCAAAATATTAATATGTCCTTGTTTTGTTTTTCTCCAGTAATTGATTGTGGGGAACCCAAACCTTTGCTGAATGGAGGGGTGACCTTCCTGTCTGGATTTCAGAATCAGTACCGTTCTGTTGTTCAGTATCACTGCAATGAACCATTTTACGCTCTCCCTGCAGCTGTGAATGGTAAGATATTTACATACTGTTTTAGAAATGTATTTTTCATGAAGCTTAACTAAATATAAATGCCATTATGTTGTTCCCTCTGGTCTCCAGTTAGTTTTACCTGTGAAGCAGATGGAAAGTGGAAATTCAAACACAGCGATGTTATTCCAACATGTATACCAGGTATATAAAACCTAGTGATACCTAATCGGTGACACTTTATTTAAAACATGAAATCTGTGTCTCTATGAACCTATTTTTTGTCTGTCTCATCCAGTCTGTGGCAAGCCTACAAAACTCATCTCTACCTATCAGAGGACCATCGGAGGCAGTGATGGTCCAGACAATACCATCCCCTGGCATGTGCTACTGAATATAGACGGAAGAACAGGAGGAGGCATGGTGATTGAAGAGCGCTGGATTATGACAGCAGCTCATATTCTAATACAGGATGGAAATCCAGCTTCAAATGAGACTGTACGGGTAGGTAGGCTACTGTAGGTGTTATCTGCATGCCCACTGCCTCCATATTATTGAATGTACATTTATTTCCTCCTGTGCAGATTTACATGGGACTTATTGACGTTAAAAGCTTATTGGGCTCTCGTGCGTATGCTGCCTCAATCCACATTCACCCTGAATACAACAACCCGAATGGCTTAGACTTCAACAATGACATTGCCTTGATCAAACTGCGAGACCCAATCACATTTAACTCATCCATTATGCCAGTTTGTTTGCCAGCAGAGGGAGCCACATATGTCACTGACATGATAGGGTAAAGAAACAACTTTTCATTTCATAACACTTTATAATTAAATATTTCAAGGTTATTTTTTTAAACTCAATAATCTTATCTTGCATTTTATTTTTTCCAGCTTTTCAGACTTTTTTTTCTCACCATAACTGTCTTTTCTGCAATTTCTCTTCAGACTGGTGTCAGGCTTTATTACAGAAACCGACAACCAACAGATTTTAGCAAATCATTTGAAATACGTGCACCTCCTTGTGGTGGAGCAGGAGACATGCAATAGTTCAGTCAATAAGCTGAAGAAGACAAGGGGCGACTTACCGAGTCTGACAAAAAACATGTTTTGTGCTGGAGTCCCTGGTGGTGGGAAGGACTCCTGCCACGGTGACAGTGGAAGCCCCATCACTCTGAGGAATGATGGGCGATTCTGGGCTGCTGGGATTGTCAGCTGGGGGGTTGACTGTGGACAGCCGGGAACATATGGAATCTATACCAGAGTTGCCAACTACCTGAACTGGATCAACAAGACTATGCAGGAGAACTGAATAAAACCAGAGACAAATATAGCCAAATAAAAACAAATGAAGAACAACTTTACTTATACAGTCCTTCCTTATTCAACTAACAATAAAATGATAGAGGTGACGTACCTTGTCCGGGTTTAGCAAGATTTTTTTAATGATAAATCTTGCTTGTGGCCGGAAATGAGGTTGATGAGAGCAGTGAGATTGAATAAAACAGCAAGATGATGCTCCTTTGTGGTTTCATCACTTCACAACAACTCGTGCATAGCACACTATCATTTGATCTATTGTTAATATGAAACCATTTATTATTGCAGCTTCATTTTCTACCTAATAATAATAATTTCCTGAATAGCATCATATGGTAGTAGAGTAAGATTTAATCTTTAGTGATGTTTCTCATGATTTGTCACCTTATAGAAGAAACTCCTAGATGGTGATTGATAACGTTACCACTCTTGTGTCTGCACTGTATTGTGTAGCTGGTTAGATTAACTTGGCATGAAAAAAGACTGGAAACATAGGGGAAACAGCTAGTTTGCTCAGTCTAAAAAATTATCACTACCAGCCTCTCTAAGTGTTAAAATGACAAGATGTAGTGCTAGCTCCATTACTTACAGACATAAGAGATAACTTTATAAATCTTCTCACCTTGCAAACTCTCTTGGTAAAAATAAACAGGTATCAGTATTGCCAAAAATGGGAAAAACAGACGGACGTTGGTTTCCATAGTGACCCATGACCAGCTCCCTGCTGCTCTGTGATTGGACGATTCCTCTCTGCTCACTTTCACTTTCTCTGTTCCACTGCTGCATTTTGCGCATGCTCCCAACAGCGAGACGGGCTTGCGTCTCCTGGACCACCTCAAGAGTTTATTATTATATTATATTATATAAATCGCTGCACGGTTCTTGTATAATATCGATGGGATGAAGAAAAGGCTGTAAAATAATCAGAGTGTGGGCGACACAATGAGCTGCTGTTAGTCCTTGAAATCAAAAGTGAAAGTGCGCTTGTTATTTTGTGTTCTAAGGAAGCTATTTAATTTTATCCAGTTGTACTAACGTTAAAGTTTGCCTATGGCACTAATAACACTGAAACGAGACTCCATGATGATGATTGAAGGGATTTTGTTTGGATGCTTCCTGACGTGCGTTTGTGGTAAGAGCATTCATTTTGGCATATTGATACAGCGCTGAATGGTGGACAATGTAGTAGTGGCCATAAATTTAGTTAGCTTCAGTTGATTGTCAGGCTCAGTAATAAAAGTTTTGTCTGACACAACTTTTTTGTTCATGCTTTACTATATTAGGTCTATGATTTCCTTTGTGGGGTGTTTATTTGTACACTTTCAATAAATTGAATACAATTTACTTCTAATTTAGTCCTAGAATATTTTAGTCAGCGTGTAGTAGGTCAGATGAACAGGAAAAAATTTGAAATTTGTCTAATAGGAAGTAAATAGCTCAGCACATATGAAGGAAAAAAGCTATTAATAATAACAATAATTATTAATGAATATTTCCCTGTGTTTAAATGGAGTCGTTTGTTGAAACTAAATTCCTCTAGAAATCAACAGTTGCTTTTAAAGGGTTCTGTGACAAATTTCTTTCTTTCAGTGTGTTTTTAGAAAATAAACAGACTTCTATTTAATAGTAATTATTAGTAATTATGTTAAAAATGCTTTAAAGGTTAAAAACAATTAAATGTGTATAATAAGAACTTGTAATTGATTCAGACCAGATGATAAATGATAAAAAAGTATTTCAAAGATTTTTTATTTGCCCCTTCTTTCTCAGCCAATGGAGTTGCAGACGTGGTACTTTCTTGCGCCCTGGTGGAGGAGGGAGTGGGAATGGGAGGAATGGGCGGCGGCGCTCTTTTCACACGGACTCCAGCCACTCTCGTCTTAAGAGATGTCGCAGTGCCTCCTGACGAATCACTGGAAACACTCACTCCGTTTGTCCCGCCTTCAATCCCTGATCCAGATGCCATCCTCTTAGAAGCCAAAGGTTTTCCCTGTCTTCTCTATGTATAAAGTTTGGTGAAATATAAGCACAACCTGTGTTGAACTTCTCCTCTCATCCCCCTGTGACAGTCTCATCACCTGAGATCCCCAACGTGGACGTGTTGCTGCACGCGGACTGCAATGAGCAGGAGGTGATGTGCGAAATAAGCCGTTACTCTCCTCAGGGATCCCAGGAAAGTTCAGATCCAGCTTACTTCATGGTGTCCCTTAACGTGGAGGGAGTTGAGTTCAGCACTTCGTTGATTCTGCAGACTTTGATGGTGGAGAAGGACCAGTCGACCCTCATACAAAACAAACTGGGTCTACCTCTTAGCCAGTCGGGAACGCTTCTGACTGAGGGTGAGAATTAGAGTTTAATATATCATTTAATCTTTCTTATTGAATTGTTTCCATTCACAACATCTGTTTCACTGCTTTTTTGCTTCCTGTCCCACAGTGATATTTGTGGTGTTTTCCCACAAAAAGTCTGTATCTGCCCCTCTGAGAGGTGATGTTCTCCTCAACTGTGGCTTCAAGCAACAGGAGATACCCTTAGCGCAGGAGGTGGGCATTGAATGGCGACTGCAGCACAGGGGAAAAGGGCAGAAAGTGCTTGACATGAAGACGAGGGTGGATGATGCAGAAGGGAACACAGTAGGTAAGTGCTGTATGAACGGGTGAGCCTGGCCTCTTCTGGTCCATCCAGGGTGTTTATGAGGATTTAAAGTCAGGCGACGGCTTCTTGTAGCTCTGAGAGTGCTGATGATGGTAGATTAGTGCAAGTTGACTGCAGGAAGTTCATGAATAAAAAAAAGACAAATGGAGGTTTTGAGGAAAAAGGCAGCAGTTTTTACATTAAACAACTATACTATAATATTACTACACTAACCATTAGAATAACATTAATGCAGCGGAATATTTAAAAACATTTAAAATTGTGTATTTTCAAATGTTGCATAAATTAGCATTGATATTGCATCGTGAAACAAGCTGCTGAACCACAATGTTCTGACATCTTTAACACATTAGTTTGTGTGGTCTTTACTTTACAAAATAATTCCTCTTAATCACGTGATAAATGGGTATGTAGATTACTTTTAACAGCGATGGCTAAACTTGAGAAAACTGCACAAAACATACAAACGGAGATGACATGAAGAGCACAGCACTCAGCTAAGTGTGTCAAACAAATCCTCGTCTCAATATGGTCAAAAGATCCAGAACAAGGGAGAAAGAGGACCTTAAAGTTTGAGTTTTGTCAACTGCTTTTTTCCGAGGTCAACAATCAACTAACTAACAATCAAGTCATTTAACGTCTACAGTTTAATGACAACTGAGCAAATTTGATGCGATAACATTTCCAGAACAAGCAGGCAAGAGGATTTTGATTTGAGTTTGTTTGGTCAATTCCTGTTGTAATTTGTTGTCCTCAGTACGTGCAGAAAGGAGGGGCTCGAGCATAGATGTCACCAAGGTTGTCGGTGAGGGTGACGCCTCTGTGACTCTGAGCAAGCTGAAGGTTTTGGATGAGGGGACCTACATCTGTACTGTCAGCATAGGCCTTTTCCATGCCCAGCAAGTCATTCAACTCCATGTTATTCGTAAGTTTCACCCTAATCTCTCAGTTCTCTCAGAAGAATCCACAGAATATCTTTTAATTCTTCCTCTGTTGCTGTTTGTTTCAGAGCCACCACAGGTCTCCCTCTCAGAGGAAAAGCTGGTTTTGAATACAAAGTCACGGCAGACACTGAGCTGCCATTGCGCTAAATATTATCCACTGGATGCTCAGGTCTGTAACTTGTATGTTCTTAGATGTTAACCAGTATAGTCTTCTGTGTTATCCCTTTGCTAACATTGAACAAGTTGGCAATACATACAATCTCTGGAAACTAGTTATTAATTAGTTAGTTAGAAATTAATTGTTTGATACACGTAGAGATAGGAAATACGTAAACCTGTTGGCAGTAGACATTATTTACGTACATGCCACTGATGCACCATGGGGCTGTAATGTACACGGGTAAAAGAAGTTCATTGTCCAAACAAAGTCTTTATCTTTTTTCTTAAGGTTAATTCATCCATTGCAAGCAAACATCAGACTAAAGGCTCCTGCTGTCTCTCTTGCTCTGGTGAAAAATTATAAACCAGATGCATGCTGGTCTTATACCTGCATACTTACAAAAAACCTGGGGTGCCAAATATAACAACAAACCAAATATAAACTTAGCAAAAGTAAATACTACAAACATCTGGTCTAAATGAAGCAAATATCTAAAGTAATCAAACTAACACACAAACAAGAACTATAATAATACAATAAAAACTATTATAATATAATAAAACAACAAAACAACTAATAAATCACTCCTACAATAAGGGTTCCATCAGGTGTTATTTGGTTGGATTTGACCAAATTAGAATATGCATTGATGTTTGTTCTGCATCTGGACCAGTGTATAGGATTCAGTGACATCTACAGCGGCCTCAAAACTATAGATTAAGTGTTTGGGTTGTCTCTTCTGGGCTACCGTAGCAACGTGGCAGCCTCTGCAGAAATGGACCTTCTTCCTCTATAGATTAAAAACACAAAGATTCTTCAATACTGAAAACATACCTATGCATATTATATTAAATTTCTGTCAATAGATCTTCCTCAATGTTACTGGCTTTTGATTAGAATGTTTTATATTTATATTTATATTTATATTTGATTTATTTTATTGTATTTGTGTTTTAAAATGTTTTACTCCCTCTTATGTAATTTATTGTCATGGATTTCATCTATTTTACAGTTTTTTAAACCTATTTTTTAAAATATTTTTTAGTTGTTTTATTATCACATTTTAATAATTTAAATTTATTGTGTGCATAGGTCTTAAATTGTTTTTATTGTTTATATTTGTACTGTCTTAATATGAGCTTGTCAGTCAGCTCGGAAGCCCTTGGTGAATTGCACCAAAGTGTATGAAAGGTACAAATAAATATTGATTGATTGATTGATTGATTGATTGATTGATTGATTATCTGCTTTCTTCTGCCTTTCAGATGGAGTGGTCATCCCTCTCTCCCACAGACACAGAGGCTACAGTGTTTCCAGATCAGGGCTCTTTATCCAGCCATCGTCAGCATGGCGATGGGACTTATTCCCTGTCATCTCACCTCACTGTGCCCTCCAGTATCTCCCCTGGAACTAAAATCACCTGCAGAGTGTCCCACCCGGCCCTGGAGGCTCCTCTATCTGTCAGTCTGGTGGTAGAAAGTTCACCAACAGGTATTATATACTGTGTGTGGCTGTTGTTTGTCGTTCTAGATGTATCTGTTGTTTAATCTGTACAAAAAACAGAAGAGCAAAAACAACATTTTATGGTTATTAGAGTGGAACAAAATACATAGTAAGTTTGAAACTATAGTTTGGGTCAAATCACAACCTCTTTCGATCATGTCACAGCAGAGGGGAGTTTTTCATCTGGAAAATGCAAAAATGCAGTTTTCATTTCGTTACTCAACCACCACAAAATCAGAGCAATGAGAATCATGTCTGTTTTGCAAATGACATAGAAACGTTTTATGTCTTTAGATTATTTATTTGCATTACATTCTGTGTATCCTTAATATCCTTGTATAAAAATTAACTGTTCTCTGTGTCTCTCACTCTACAGATTCCTATTGGTGGGTTCTGGGTTTCCTGGTTGTCACTGTGCTTTTCTTCTACCAGGTCATGAGATAAGTTAGTAGGAGATAATCTAGTAGATTATCCTGACTTGAAACTGAGCCCAGAAAAACTTAATTTGTGTCATTTGTGAGTCTGTAAGTTATTACTGATATAATTAGTCCTCACTGCTTTATACATTTGCTGTTGAGTATTTTTGGTAGTGGTTTATTTATGTAAAGCAAACAAGTTTGGAGCTTTCATTTATGTAACCTGCAAAATAATAAAATCTAAGCATTTGGCCTTAAACTCCCACATTAATTCCCAAAACTTTACCTTACAGCAGTCAAAACTTTTTCTCACACAAGAATTAACCACAAAAATTATCCATGGTAGTTTCACACTGACTCGTGCTGTGCCTGTCGAGTGCTGTGGGAAACAAAGCTCACATTACATTCACTGTGTTTGATGTCACCTCATCAGAGGACTTGAGTTTCTGTTTCACACTCTGGAGTTTGTAGGTAGTAAAGATTCGATTAAGGTTGAATCACATGTGTGTAGGCAGGAGACACTCAGATTCTCCAGACTTTCCATTATAGGTCCATACAAATTTTATTTGAAAGCAAATATCAAACCAAGGGCACTATGAGTATGATGAACTTAAGTAATGCATCTGCAGTCAAATATATAATTTATTTTGTTCAATTTGCAAAATGTCTGTCCCTATACATCTGCTTTAAGGTTTAGAGTTATATATGTTTTAGGAGGCTGTTGTGTTGTCCATCATAAATATCTAAAGTAGCATAAACTCTTCATTACAAGAGCAGCTTAAAGGAACTAAAACTAGTTTTACATTAACAGAACATGCAATAAGACACACTGTAAGACTGTTGTTCTGATTCAAACAGGATCAAGTTATCCATGCCTTGAACTGTTTATATTTCTTTGCATACACATTGTAGGATTTCTGGCTTCTGGGATATATTTGGTTTTTTTTTGCACTGTTTTTATTGGTACTATTTTAAATGTAGCGTATGTTTTTATGGTATCTTGTTTTTGTGTGTGATATTAAAATTGTTAGGTTTCACAATGAAAGACTTTTGTGGCTCAACAACATTGTTAATGTTATCAATATCAGTGCATTTCTTAAATTACTGTACATCTGGAAAACGATTCAAGCTTTGTTTCACAGTGTTTCTATTTCATAAATGCTTTCAGTCAGAATCTGTTTATTGTTATAAAATAAGCTGGGATCACTTGAAGTAGAATAGATTGTAGTACAACATTTTCTAACAAGGACTAAACTGGCTCAATATGTCAAGAGAATATAATAAAGGTCAGCACTCAGTTCTGTTGATGATTTATTTATTGGCATCAGCAAAAGTGGTAAGCATGCATTTGTTTCCGCAAATCCAGTTGCATCTCATACTGCGTCTTCAGGTTTTAAATCACAAAACATGTTGTCCTATCTCATGTGGTAATTACCTCATAATATTGTTGCACAGTATCATCAGATAATGGCAAACAGTTACAATTATGCATAAATGCATTTTGCACATAAGGATGTTCATATTTTCTTAATTTTATCAACTCTCAAAATCAGTCCTAAGAGACATAAAATCTTTTTTAAATTATTTTTTATATCCAACAACCCCCCAAAAACCTGAAAGAATTTATAAACACATTTTCAGGAGCATAATCTGACAGATGTGTATTATTGTTCTATCCATACAATACTACATGTTTTAACAGTTCACTATAGTAGCAGTTGTTTGCAGTCTGAATAATATTTTTCTCTCAAAAGCAAGTGAAATTAAACAAATCTGGCAAACTCTTGAGCATCATTGCATTGCATAAGCAGTAATTATCAGATCAGAAAGACAGTATACACAGGTCCTTTAAACCACTAACAAAAAAAAATGTACAGTCGGCAGTTAGATTCAGAAATGGCAGATACACAGGTCACACAAAAAGGCAAAACTATGGACACCGTTTGCCATGCAAGTTAGAAACAAACACCTCACTTTGGCCGTTACCATACTGCAGGTGACAGGTGAGATATGTGAGTGAGAGGGGAGTGGGAGGGCCGGGTGGCTCTGGGCTTTTCTAAATCATGTCCTTTCTCCCATTTTCCTGCTTTTTGAAGATTAGGTCAACTTAAACAACAATCAAACAAACGCTTTGTCTGCACAACTTTCCAAGCAAGTTGGCATTTGTACCTGTTTGAAATGTGATGCTACACATTCATCTGTCTATGGCTGTGACTCTGTCCAAATCAGAGTTAAGAGACCTTCCTCTGGGTCGCAGCAGTCAGTTCATGTATATAGTAGATTGTCTATAAGTGGCTGCTTGTCTTGCTGTGCATATTACTATGCCACCACCTGTGGTACAAAAACCAAGGTAAAATGAAGCATAGTTATACACCTACTTTATCAATAATCGCTTATCAGTCCAGAATTAAGTTTGTTTTATTCATACAGGAGAGAAATGCTGCAATACTTTACTACCTTTCCCTCTATCACTTCTTCCTTTCCTTATACTCACACAGTCTCTTCATTTGTCTAATTTCTATCTCTTATTGTCACTACTGGACGTTACAGAAATAAGAGACTATGTAAGAGAAAGTTAGGCAGGAAAGGAAACAAAAAAGTTACGAATAAAAGCCTATCACATAAACTTGGAAAAAGCTACTGGCTACAATGCTTTGGATCACAAATACACACACGCGCATACAACAAAAATGTTCAGAATCTTATTCTAACATGACCTTTTGTTAGTAAGTAGCAATAATGGTAGCAGTTGTGATGGAAGGAGTGCGTTAGTTAGGTATGTCAATATCAATTTACAAATGTAGGACTCTCAAAAAAGGTAATATGAACAAGCTTTGGCGTATCTGGGGTTGAAAGGACTGCAAACTCTGGTTCAATTTCCCTGCACACATTCACCAACTGTACATTGTACATTTCCCCCCCATGGCTCCGTTCAGAGGGCTTAGCCCCACGAGTCCCCTGTGTCACAAGAATTTTCTCAATCCCTCCTTCCCTTTCTTTCTTCCTCTTTCACTCTGCCTGCTGCGTCCTTCAATAATACATGAGGTGCAGAGACAGGAGAGAGTGAGTGAGACATGACGCCAAAACACTGGAAGAAAGCAATAAGAAGGGAGGGAAAGGGGGACAAAGAGAGCAGAGACACCTATAAACACTACTGTCATGTATAAGTGCAAGATGGTTTGATGGAAGACTGTGTGAAGAGAGGAAGGAGAGGACAGATAAAAGGGGGCGCTTGGGTTTCTTTTTTTCTCTTCCCTCTCATGTCATTCTCAAGTCCATATCCATCTGTGTTGATGGGCTGAGCTCAGTAGAAGAAGTACACTGCGAAAGAAGGGGAGACGGAGAGCAAGTCATTAGTCTAATGGATCGGGCAATACATCACTTCACCGAACAGAGAACGGTCAGCTGAGCTCTCCTTGGTGTTTACAGGTTTGTTTTGAATTAAGAACTGATAAAACTGGTATTGTGTCCATAATCTACTGTACTAAGAAGAACCAATGAATAATTGACAATCAGAGCAGGCGTAGGCCGGTCAGATCTGGGCTTATTAGAGCAGAAATACAAATAATGTGCTGGTGCTGTCTTACACCTGCCAGCATCCTTTAACAAAGTCATAAGAACGTCTCTGTAGCTTAATTTCGTGTAAAATAAACAGCACTAATACAGCAATACCATCGCATGCTGACAGACTAAACTTTCACAGGGGATAATTTTCTTCATATAATTGTCTTCTCTGCAGCTGAGAGAAAAAACACAGTCAACACTGTTTATAAAAGTCTATACATCAACTTATCTCTCAGTCAATCAATTAATTGATTATATCAATCTTTGTATTAGTGTCAAGGGGACTTTATCTTTTACTCACAGAATATTATTCCAACCACAATGACTCCAATGATACCCATCATGATCATCATCTGAAAGTAGAAAACAGTTACATTTACTATAATGGGACATACAAGGAATCTAACAATGTGTGTGGAGGTAAAACAAGAAACTTCTGAGCAACAAAACATTCAAGACACTTCAAATTCTTTGCGGTTGTTGTGCTTGAGTTATGCAATCTCTTGAGTGTTTCTTAGTGTAGATTTCTTTTCCCCATTGTCCCCAGAGCATCTGTTCAGTCTTCCACAGCAGCTCATTAACACATTAGTGTGTGGAGAGCAGGATGACGGCATCCAACAGACACTGTGTGTGCACTTCAGTGCACCTCAGCATGAACAGTTGCTCCATGATTTAACATAAAAGAGCTGAGGATCTGGTTCACACTTAATTTTTAATTTTCTACTAGCTCCATATACATACTTTATCTCTATGCACCACATACTAATGGGGATACTTTTAATTAATTCAGGCTCAGATTATTTTGTGAGTTTCTTACAGTAACAACAATATGTTTAATGGACCCACACTAATGTGCCCACCTTGCAGTTCTTCCACCAGTACTTGTTCTTTAGCTTGGCTGCGCAGCTTTCAAACTGGGAGGCTCCGGCTTGGAGAGCATCCGCTCTGTCATCCAGCTCTGAAAGCTTCTGGTCCCTTTCCAAAACCTTGTCCACATTCACTCGCATGATATCCACCACCTAGCCGACAGTGGTGAGGATGAGAAAGCATTTGGCAGTGGTGGCGACAAGAGACAAAGAGGATGACAAGCACAGTTAAAGGAAAGAAACACAGGGGACAAAGGGTTTTCTGAATCTGTATATTGTAAATAAGCAATTGTAATCCATTTGAAAATTGCAGCAAAGCTCTTTATATATTAAGAAGAGGAGATATTTCCAGAGAGCAACAACATTTTTGAATGCATGTCCAGTATAAGCATCATCCATACACAGGAAGTCCGGACATTTAATTATTAAGCCATTGATGAGGTTCCCCAACTGTTAACATGCATTACTTGTTAACATCAAACTCTAGTCCAGAATCTTAGTGTGGCCTGATCCAGCTCACCTCCTCGACTTGGGCCTGTGTCTGCTGTAGCCTGCGGTTGCTGGAGGTATTGGGTGGGGCGGGAGGTCCGCCAGATGGGGCGCCATCTCCACCAGGGGCTCCTGGAGCGCCAGGGGCTCCAGCTGGGGCAGCATCTGGGGCAGACCTGAGTAGAAGCACGGGAAGAAAGACGAGGAATTGAGACCGTAGTAAAGGAGACTGTCCGATATTCTGTTGTTAGTTATAGAGGAGGCATAGCACACACACAGAAAACTGCATATGATGCAGGGGAGAGTGGAAATGTAAGGTGAACGAATGCAGAAAATAGGATGTATAGGGGGAAGAAAAGAGGAAAGAATGAGCAGGTGAAGAAAAATGGTGCAGTGGGAATTAAGAAAATATAGGCCACAGATGGATAGCTAGAAACAGAAAGTATTCTCCAGGAAGATACTGGCTGAATATTTGGAGCAGGAGGTTTTAGTGAGAGAAAAAAAGACGGGAGAAGTTCTTGTGATGGATTACATAGAGTTGGGAGGGATTGAAAGGAAAAGGTAAGACTGGAAAGTGATGTATGGAAAGGGGGGAAGGGTTAATCCAGCAGAGGGGGGGAGAGAGGAGGAGTGGGTACAGGAGGCTTAAAACTGAGCAAACAAGCTCCTCAGGGGAGCAACCTGACTATCTGACCGACAGTTTAATACAAATCACAGTCACTGCAGCAGGACTAAAACAATATCTTCACCTCATGAACCATCAATTATCTGACATGAATGTTCCTCAACAAAGGAGGTAATGACCTCAAACCCTCTGAACAAAAGTACGGTCTAATATTTCTTTTAGGTCTGTGTTGTAAAATGATCCAAAAAAGCACAATGTAACTGTACCTAAGGCTTTAGAGTGGCAGCAATCAACCCCTGCATACATAATTTAGTGATGCTGTGACGGAAAATTTCACTTGCGTCAGCAAAATCCATCAAGCTGAAAGAAATCAGTTCAGTTTCAAACCTCAGCACGAAAAAAACAAGAAAAACATACAAGAAAATAAACTGGTTTGAATATATGTTTATCCAGTGCAGCTTCAGGGAGATTTTTCATTTAGTTATAGTGAAAAGAGTGCAGCAGAAAAGCCGCATTAATACTCACATCTTCTATGCAGCTGTTTGAACTGACTCACGGGCAGCGGTGGAGGAGGGGTGACGGGCTGAGATGCAGGAGAGGGAGGGTCTGAAGTACAACCAAAGATACAAAATAAAAAAATAAAAACAGCAAGATCAAAGAAAAAAAAAGAGATGAGAATGTCTAGGCTCTGTTCCAAAATTAGTCCAAATATTCAGTTGAGCAAAGTGATTAAAGTGGCTGACAGTAAACAGAGGCGGGGGGTTCGTTTGCGCAGTGGAGCCGATCTTCTAGCAGTGCATTTATACCGCAAGTGGTCAGCAAAAGTACCGCAATACCGAGACACGTAAACGGGTCGGGTGATAATTCACCGTGTGTGACCGGACTGGAGAGCGGCGAAGTGAAGAGGAGCGACGCGACCTCAAGAGAAAAGTACTTCTAAATTATAATCCATCCAGGAGAAATCCACGGACGCGCAGATTCCCGCAGGACTGCTTCCAGCTCCTCCAAGTGATGCTGAGTCCTTATAACGCTGCTCCTGGATGCTGAGGACGCGGCGCTGATTGGCTGGTTTTGTTTAGTTGCCTCTTCTGAAAGCTACCGGCAAAAAATGCAATTTCAAAATTAAAGGGGGGCAAAAAGTCCAGTCATGAGAAATCAGTTGTCTCTTTTTGATTTCTGTCACCCCCC